ATATTAAACTAACTGAAAGATTTGAAAGTTATAAATAAGGAATAAAAAACTGCTTTTATAATAGATGCCATGTTTTTTCCCTAAATGAACACTAAAGGGAAGGAAATTTCTGGGAGTTACAGGAAACAATTCGAATAAAATGAAACCTTTTCAAAAATGAACAGCCTTGTTTATTAACAATATAAAATAAATGAATACACAAAAAACCAACAAAAATAAATGCAAGGCTGATCTTTTCCCCACAAGATCATCTGAGGGTTGAACATTTTACCACTAAGACTTCAAACTGAATTCATGATTGACAGGTTTGCCCAAAAGGTTGTGTTTATCCTTATTTTCTCAGTTAATTCTGATGTCAAAGTTATTTGACTAAATTTATATTGTTGACTTAAACGATGTGTTGTAGAGAAATTATGAAGTTTTTCTGTGATATTTTGACATTTCACCTCCATCTTCTCAGACGTCACCGAGCGATTGCAGCAACTTTGATAAAGAGTTCATCAATGAGAAGCCCCGGCTGTCGTGCGCCGATCGCACGCTCATCAACAGCGTGGACCAGACGATGTTCAGGAACTTCTCTTTTGTCAATCCAGGGATGAATCGCATAGCGGCACGTTGACCAAGAATACCTCCGAACAACCAACCAGCACTAACCTTTACTGACCCAAACTTCAGACGGTGACCGTCTGCAGAACTCAGCAACATGATGAGTGAACGCACCAGGAGGGGTGTGTCCTGACTGTACCGTGACTCTATATTTAACACAAGTGTTGTAAAACTAGATGGACAACAAAAACTAGATTTTATTTCGTACTGTAATCATGATGGCATTCTGTTAGTCTGGCTAACAAATAATCCCTCAATCCAAGTTTACAAAAGGGACAAAAATAATTATGAACCAGGTGTGTTCTGAGGAATTTCTATCAGTAATCAAAAAGAAATTATTTTCCTGAGACACAAATATTCATTTTCCTCTCATTATTTTGGTATTTCTTTTTCACACCGAGCTTCCTGCTGATGTCACATCTGTGGGGATGAAGCTGATATTTTGAAAAAAATAAGTGGTCTTGTGCAAAAGTTTTAAAGCAAAGTCCACAAGAAACTGGAACTACTGATCAAAACCACGTTATACAATGGGTAAAATAAGTATTGAACACGTCACCATTTTTCTCAGTAAATATATTACTAGAGGTGCTAGTGACATGACATTTTCACCAGATGTCGTTAACAACCAAATGATCCATACTTACAAAAAAATCAAACCATAAATGTCCAGAAATGAAGTTATTTGTAATAGTGTGGAATGGCACAGGAAAAAAAAAGTATTGAACACACTTACTGAAATGTATCTAATACTTTGTACAAAAGCCTTTGTTGTCAATGACAGCTTAAAGA